GACCGTCGGGATGTGCGATATCTCGAGCGGTTCCATCAGCAGTGTCTGCGACGAATTTTGCGGATCGGCTGGGGCGCCAGAGTTGCAGACACGGAAGTGTTGCGCCGAAGTGGGATGTATGCAGTGGACTGCATACTTTTACTGCGACACCTGAGATGGCTCGGTCATGTGAGCCGTATGGATTCGACGCGAATACCGAAACAACTTTTATACGGTCAGCTGAGTATAGGGAAGCGGCATGCTGGGAAACCAAAGTTACGTTACCAGGACATGATTAAAGTGAGCCTCACACGTTCTAAACTTGATTGCAGATCATGGGAATCGAAGGCAGTTGATCGTGGTGCATGGCGCGATCTAATCACGAAGGCAGTTGCTGAAGTGCGGGAGAAAGCCCTCATGCATGCAGTGAAGAAGCGGCAGTTGCGGAAGCGGCAAGCACCGATGAATTGTACTCCATCGACATCGAGCGCATTGTGTTGTAGAACATGCGGTCGCGAGTGCCTTAGTCAGGCAGGCCTAGTGTGCCATGAGAGAGGTCACTCGGGACCACTGCCGAAGCGACGACGGGTCCCGCAGTGAACGTAGGCAGTACCGGCGCAGCGTTTGTAGGCACGCTGAATTCGATTTACTAACCGCGTGCTTGCATGCTAAGTCTCTTTATTTCAGGTGGTGGGTTTACAGTTTTTACCTTAATGCTTTTCTTTCTCAAATAAATATCTCCCTGTACTCTATTCCATTAACTTGCACACATCGCTTCAGCCAATTGTAATCGATTTCCATAACATTTTTGTGTTCGTGGCATTCCGTGAACTATACTTCCTGACCTCGTGCACATAGCTAGGATTTGTTTGTAAACAACTTACTACGTATGCTATTTAATTAAGTTTTATGTCACCGTTTCCTTATGCATTAATCGAGTTTTTCTCTTTTTCTTTCTCTCTCTCAAGTGATTGGCTGTTGTTTGATATCCCCGGTGTGGCTGCGCTTGATGTGCATGTTGACAAGGTGCCTACCTGTCTATTACCCACTACCTCGTCCATACTGGCTCCAGGAGACAGTTGGTCGTTGCTGGAGGGGACGGGGTGCACGGTCCTTGTGGCCGTGCTAGGCTCGAAGAGTGGTTCCATGCAGTCAGTGTGGAGCGGACTACGGTCCAGCCACCGCCTTGTGTGCGCTTGATTCCCAAATACAGTGTGCTTGTGTTTGCCTGTGAAGGAGTGTGAGCCGGCTCCGTTGATGAAACGTGGTTCCCATCCGCATGCCTCCCGGTCTTATTCCTTCGGGTTTACACTGGATATGGGGTATGTGGTTGGAGCTGTGGGTGGTGCAGCGCAAGCCATCCATGGTCCCTCTGTAGGCGCAGGCGTCCTGTGGCTTGCCACAGTGACAGGCAAATCCGAAACCGGATGCCGCCAACCATGTGCGACGTGGCATTGCTTGTTTAATACGTGCTGCGAGTATTTTTGTATCCATGTTCCGTCCAAACCTGACTTCCTCTGTTCTGTTGACCTTTCTACTGCCCTTGTTAACCTATTTTGTTGTTGTGGTACAACACTTGTGATTCAGTTCCGCCGTCCCTCATTGCAGGCAATACGAGGATCGGGAACTACGGGTAGCCAAAGAACGTGATCGGAAACGCATCGAGTTCGTCAACCAACTACAGCGCTTAAACAATCAGCTGGAATATGAGCGCTCTCGTGACACAGCAGGTAGGTGCTCTTTGCCTTTTCTTTCATATTCACCTAACGAATGGACCTGTTTGCTCGTTTTTCGCTTAACCACAAAACTGTCCATGAGGTGCTGAGCTAAGATTAAGACACTTTTATTTTCAGCGTAAGCAGCGCTCATCATTGGGATGCACAAAGCTCAAATCCTCAATTCCTTTGTTTTGATTGAGCGTCGCTACGCATCAATTTTTACTTCTTCCCTCTGGTCCTATATCAACTTCTTTCACTTCTTCTTCTCCTTTTCTCTTATTTCAGCGGCTGTTAAACGATGGGAAGACGCAGTGGCAGCTGAGAGGGTGGAAATGGACAAGTGTAAAAAACAAGAAAAAAAGATAAAGGAAGAGATGGAGCAAGAGGAGAGTCGAAAGATTGATTTAGAATCCCGAATCGGCGATCTCAAAAGCAGAGTTGAGGCATTAGATATCGAACTGTCTGATGTGCGACGCCGTTTAATCACCAAACAGAGAGATATTCAACGACAACAAAAGGAGCTCAATCAATCGGAGGCTCGTTTGGAATCAAGACGGGCTGAGCGGCACTCGCTGATCCAGTCAGCTAAGGTAACTATTTAAATTTGCCTGTCAGCTTTCACACTGTATTGTAGATGGATGACCTCGAAATTCCTTTGAAGTCAAGAGGTAGCCCGATTACTGAACTCGAAAGTCAACTTTCTATGGACACCGAAAATACTGACCAAACTACGGAAGAATTGGCCCGAATTTACGAACTTGAGTCTCGTCTTCCGATTGATTTCAAACGTCTCGAAAAACCGCTGAGACATCTAGCAGATGAAAAAGAAGTTTCCCGGAGGTAAACTTGTTCGAGTCCTCTTTTGATTTTCTCTGTTCCCATTTACTGGCACCTGCTATTCTCTAGTTTGATCCCATAACTATTTGCTTGCCGATTATTTGCTTGTAGAGCCGAAGAGATGCAGAACCAGATCGACTCCATGCTAAACAATTTGTCTCGCATACAGGCACCAAATCTTCGAGCGAGCGATAAGCTTGGCAACGTTGAAGAACGGTTACGTTCGACTGAAGCGGAGTTTGAGGAAACTCGCCGCCGAGCGAAGCGGGCTAAAGCCAGATTTGAACGCGTTCGGCGCCTACGATACAACGCCTTCATGAATTGTTTTTTATCTATCTCTGACAATATCGATCCCATCTATAAAAGTTTATCGCGCAACCCCGGTGCTCAGGTTAGTTGTTGCACCATTTCATTTGTCTATTCACATTTAACGGTATCCAGTTAGTTAAATGCATTTTAATCTTTCTCCGTAGGGTTTACCTTTACAGTAAGCAGCTTGTCGAAATCTTATTTCTTAGTCACATTTACCTGAACACAGACATCTTTTCAGTAAATTTACTACTCTATCAAGGCTTCACATTACTAATTTCATGCAGGCATTTCTCTTCACTGTCCTGTATGATGTTCCGTCAATGGGAACATGGAGTGTCCTCAAATTAATACCCAACCGTTTTAAATTGCATGGCTTTGATTTTCCGGTTTCCTTTCACCGTGACAGATTAACTTTCAATGTTGATGTAGGTCTCGCTATTGTTGCTTCCGCCTTATCTAACAACTCACCACTACATTCGCGAAGGATGCTCCTACATTCGCTTATACCCGAACCCTTGTTCTCAACTCCCAATCACCACTGCTTCCATTTCGTCTCTCAGCTCCCATTTGTTTTTCGATGTGTCCCAATTGTGATATCAAAGTTACTTCTTTCCTATCCCCCCTACAACTTACGCTCCTATTTTCTACCTCTTTGTTTGCCAATCATGGCCTAATTCCGTTACCATCGCTTATCACACATCATTGATGTTTTAGGCCAGTCTGCTTCCTACGAATGCAGAAGAACCTTACCTGGAAGAGATTCAGTTCCAGTGCGTCGCTCCCGGCAAGCGCTTTCAGCAAATGGACAGTCTATCTGGTGGCGAAAAGACAATAGCTGCACTGGCTCTTCTGTTTGCTATGCACAGCTACAACCCGTCTCCATTCTTTGTCCTGGACGAAATCGATGCTGCTCTGGATAACACAAACATCGGCAAGGTAATCACATGCCCGCGTCCTTCCTTTTGTCCATTTCACGCTTTTCCCATTTCTTCCTAGATCACATCATTTGTCGACTTCTCACTCCAATCAGCAGTCGCCGGCTCGTAGCCTAAAGAATCACAGGCCTGCCTTGTAATCCGAGGGCGCGAGTTCGAACCTGCATAGGTGGACCGGGCGATTTTCCCAGTATCCTTAGCCCACGCGCTACTGTTTGTGATTAAGCTGCAGCGAAGCATCGTTACTGCGTACCTGACGTACTACCGATACTTTCTTATCTTTCACATTGATCCGCCCCAATCCCATTCTGTGTTTCCACCGCTTTTTGTTTTTTCTTTCTATCCTGGTCAACATTCCCATCAAGTGTAGCCACACCGGGGATGCCAAACACCAATAAACGTCCGTGATATAAGAAACACAATACGAATGCACACGTGCAGATCAACTGCAGCGATGATGTTGTACACGTATCACCTCAACCGCGTTATCGGCCTGGTTAAGTGAGTCGAATGAAAGCGGACCTAGCCTACTTACGAACACTGCACTGATGATGATGACCTATTCAACTGACTCGTTATTTCTTCGACGTTGCGTTGGCGTGGCGACGTTGCTGCCCTGCTAATCCAGCTTTGCTCCAGCACTCGCGATCTCATGTTCTACAGCACAATGCGTTCTACCTCGATGTGCCACAATCCATCAGCGACTGCCGCTTTCGTACCCAGCGTTTATTTTCCGCATGCATCAGTGATTTCTCATGCACCTGGGCAACCGCTCTCTTGATATGCTTTCACCATTGGCAGCGTCGCGTATTTGGTGCAGGAAGAGCGAGTGAATCGCTCAGCACCATCATATCACGCACCAGGCTCCGATGGCTGGGCCACGTGGTGCGCATGCCAATACACCGACTCCCGCAACGTGCATTGTTTGCGCGCCGGGGGTGCGGTTGGAAGAGGAGGAGGGGAGGCCGAGTGATGACTTGGTCGAAAACAATGAAGGCCCTTACTGCGAAGTTGGCGTCGGTTGGTGTATCCCGACTGCCTGGCTGGGGTCCTAAGGACGATGAACACGTTTGGGTGGATGCGCTTTTTGACATGGCAAGGAGCCGACATCAATGGCATTTGTGTTGTGAGTTGCTTTGTCCATCCCCCTCCTGCTTAGCCTCCTCCTCCAATCACGCTCTCATTCACTAGGCATAATATAACTCTCTTTTTGCGGCACGATTGCCTGCTGTTAGCTCACCGGAACGATGTCCATCCGTTATTGGGGACTCAGCTGTTGTGCCACTGTTGAATTTTTTCTTCTTGTCTTTAGTATTACGGCACACGAGCTGAGGTGTTTACCAACTGCAGCTAACGTGTATAATTATGATGTTGCCATTGGCACCGATTTGCTGCCATCGCTTTCAAATACCATTAACCAATACGTGGGAACGTATCTGCGCTTTTCCTATGTTTCGCATCCCTGCATTATGTTGCCCATAAAATAGCTGTTTCGGTATCCGAGTCGAACCCATGCGGCTGATATGCCCGAGCCACCCCAGGTGCCGCAACAGAAGTAAACAGTCCACTACTTATGTGACACTGCGTCCGAGCACCTTCGTGTCAGCAACTCGGTCACCTTAGCCAATGCGCAAAATACGACGGAGCCACTATTACTTATATCGCTCAAAATATCGGTCATTTTGCTGGCACATCGTTTGGGTTTCGCTGCCGTGCCAAACGACGGACGGCACCATCATCTTCGCCCCAACGGGAAGCTGACGATTGTTCCACCTACGTTTGTTCATCTTTCCAAATGCGACAGCCACCTTCAAAACTCGGATACGCAGCTCGCTTGTCATCTGTAGGTCGGTAGATGTTCCGCATTCTAGGTGGAAAAATCTAAATGGGTTTTTTAGGACGTTGCCAATGTGGATTCGCGGCAAGCTCACGGGCTTCATTTCTGGTCAAGGCTGGAAAAGACTAACAGTCTTTCTTGTTTTATAGTGAGCCCGAATTTGGCCGCTATCGAAACGAGAGCCGAGGTCATGTGCTGCGACTCATTCGCGCTGTGCGCAAACAACGCACAGTCGTCGGCAAACAGCAACATATGGGTGGTTGTCTCACACACTAGGGTTCTCGTCCCGAAGCGATGGTCAGCAACCCACCATCAATACTGTGCTCCACACGGACACCATAACCACAAGCAGCATCAAAAGCGCAAGCCATCATTCATGCAGGTAACTATTAAGCAGAGCAGTGTCTAAGACATGGCCTTGCTTCACACCAGCTACAACATTAGTCATCCGAGGTTTGTCCACACATCTGCACCCTCGGCCGCATGCCTCTGTGTATTCTATTAGGCTTGCAAATTCACTTTGGCAACCGAACTTACTCATCCCTATTCACAGTTCAGTTGGCTTCCGCACCTCTTCCTACTCAGGTGATGCAGTATGAGGCATGGACGGTTCGTTTAGAGACTCCGTCGGAGGCTGAGGTCCGAAACGTGATCACAGCTCTCAATCCTTTTCGTACTGTTGCTCCGGATTCCCTTCCTCCTTCACTATTTAAAGATGTAGGTGAGATCCTCCGCAAAACACTGGCCTCTTTTCAAACATATCTGGAAGGAGGAGACCGTCCTGGGTAACTGGAGTGAATCTGTTATAGTGGGGACGATTTTGGCGCTGCGCAATCAACTCCGAATAACCTCTCTATTGTGGTCCCATTACTTGGTATGCGCTTCGCATCTTCAAACTGCAAAGTGTTGCTGCAGGATCGACAGCCACTTGGTTGTTCCTTGACCCTAGTTAGCGAGGAACTCAAGGTAGTTGATCATTTAACTTACTTTGGCACCTGCATCAGCAACGATGGGTGCATAGATACTGAAGTCATTTCTCGCTTGCAAAAGTCAGAACTGCTTTCTTGAAGGTGCGACATCTTTGGCCACAGATAGGAGTCTCCCTCCGTCTGAGAGGCCGTGTATACAACACCACAGCGATGGCCGTCACGCTTTATGCTAATGAGAGTTGGCCTCTTCCGTCGAGCATCTGAGGCACCTTCAAGTCTTTGATCATCGTTGTCTGCGGAGCATTGCTGTTGTTGGTTGGCACCAGCGTGCACGCAACGAGTACTACTCAGTGATAAGCAAGCTAGTTCCTTAGAACAACAGTTAGGACTTAACAACTTGCGTTGGCTTGGGCACGTACTAGGTATACCAGATCACCGCTTACCGAGGAGGGTCTTGTTTTGTTTGCCAGATGTAGGGTGCCACAAGGCTCGAGGTGGAAAAACTTGACTTGGCAACGGGAAATGAAGTCACTGACGACCAAACGTGATGCCATCTTGCCTTCCAGGCTGGAGTCCACGTGATGCCTTGTGCTTGGCTCGGGGCATTACAGCACATGGCTCGCAGTCGGTACCAATGGCACGTCTGTTACCGTCTCCTAATCCGACTGGACTTCCTGTTTAACGTGCGTTTGGTGCTGTGTTATCTGCGGGGTAATAGCTGATTGTAACGCGTGGACAGTGAAAGCCGCAAGGATGCTGTCTCGCCGATGCCGCCTTATCTTTGCACGATAGCCAGCTGTTTGTGATGGTATGTTGTTGACAAAATCTATGCACCTTGATACTGAATGTTTGCTTAGGGCCTTAAGTTTTCTGCAGTCACTCTTCTCTCATGTTATTCTTCTTTCCATTGGTCACCATGGTTATATGGCTGCGAATAATCACTACAAATGGCTGATCGTCTGCTGTTAATGATGATGATGACATTGCCTTTCGGTTCACTATGTCAGATATTTTGCTGAAGTCTACACACAGCGAGTTCAATAGTTGGTGTCGCTCTCTGCACTTTTATTGCGGGTCACCAACCGCGAAGACCATATCTAGGGTGCTGCGTCCCGGATGGAATCCCCATTGCTCTTCCGCCATGTTGGGTTCCACAACCTGCCTAACCAGGCTGTTGAGTAGGATTTGGGCAATCACCTTGTCCGCATAACCTTGCAGATTGATGCCACGATAATTCGTGGCACATTGCTTGTTTCCTTGCCCTTGTACAGTGGTAGCACAAGGTCATCCTTCAACACAGGGGCACCTCCTCAATCCACATACATTGCACCAGCTGGTGCAGCGTCTTCATCAACACGGCTCCGTTGTTCCAACACTTCTGGCAGTATCCTGTGGGAACTGACGCACTTGCCGTTACACAGCTGAGCAAGTGTGCTCTGGAAATCAGCGAATGATAGGTAGGGTCGCCGCATCATCATCACTATAGCAACTTTGTTGAAGTGTGCAACACACTCCATCTATTATAACTCAAGAAGAGAGAAGTATTTTTCGTTATTTTTTAATCTTTTTCATTGTGATCGTTATACACGTTAGAGGTGTTAAACACCTCAACTGTTGTGGCGCAGCAAATGAAAAATCTACATAGCCACGTCAGCTGAGCCACCAGCAACAGATGGACACTGTTACGGAGCGCCGGCAACCGGCTACTGTTCCCCAAGGAGAAGTTATATAAGGCCTTGGAAAATATGTGGTTAGAAATGGATGTTACTCGAAAAGAGAATGGCCGAAGAAGCTCGCAGCACAAATGCCATTGAGGTCGGCTCCTAGCCATGTTAACAAGTGTATCCAGCGAAACTTATTCATCGTTTCTCGAACCCCAACCAGGGAACACAGAGGCTCCAACCGAGACTATCTTTGAATTTAGGGTCTTCATTTCTCTTGGCCAATTCATCGTTCAGCATCCCTTCCTCTTTTTCCATCCACACCTTCGGCGCACAAACATCCCACGTCGCGGGAGTCGATGTGCTGGAATGTGCAATACGTGGCCAAGCCGTAGGTACCTGATGCGTGAAATAACGGTTCACTTCCTTTTGTTGTGTCATAGACAATGCGCCGAACACGCTCATTACTCATGAGGTGTTCCTACCAGATTTGACTGAAACTGCGAAGACCCCGATGCTCGAAGGTAACTAGCCTCTTTACGTCTGCCAATCTAATTCGCAGATTTCACAACCG